ATTCATACTTTAAATTATTTTTTTTTTTCAGTGAGCAGAATCATTAACACCATATCCCACAAAAAAGTGACCCCTGTAGTTTGCTATGAATACAGACAATATGGTTTCCGTAAAATTGCAGGATGGACATAGCAGGTAGTGCCAGAAAATATAATGCGGTGCAGACGTGTGAGGTGCATTGGGCAGGTGGTACAGATCAGGTAGGGATGCCTTGGACCCGTGCTTTGTTCACAAACCAACAGAATGACTTCCTACTAGATGGCTGTGCCGATTGACCAAAGTTTTGGAAGTATTGGTAGGAGGACATGAAAAATCACAATCTCTGCGATTCACATGAGAAGTAGATCGTGGACGTCTTCAAGATCGGTCACAATATAAAATCATCAGGTCGCCCCCCCCTGATGATTTTTCCCCCTTGACTGTGACTGGCTTCGTGGGTCTTTGACACTGTTTGCTCTTGGATTGTTGGGTTGCACAGTTTGTAGAGCTGATTGCTGCTATGCTAATTTAAACATCGGAAATTTGACCTGTAGTCTGCGTTTGTGATACTTTTGGTAGGTGATTCACTACCTACATGGCCACGGTTTAGGTCTCCTCCAAGGTGTCTCGACATGCCCTGTTTTAAATGAAGGCTGGTGGGAGGGTGCTGTTCGTACGCACTGCTGGACTAAAGAATGTGAGTCACATGGGTAGTTTGCCCTCTTCTTTTAAGGTAGAAGCAGTCTGATTGGTGGAGACACGCTGTGAGTGTTCAGCCTGGGCTGTGTCCATGCCGTCTAATTAGGAGCCTGCCATGCTTGTTCTCGCCGTACATCCTGCATCTCGGACCTGTCCGGCACCCTGCCGTAGCCTCTCACTGTTCCCAGCGCAAAGAAATGAACACTACAGTCTGTATTTCAGTGTTTACTGTTCGGGCATTTTAAAGTTCACCGTGTGGTGCACTGGGTCACAGTGTTACATCACACCTCCAGGGTTGGGGATTTGAAACCCGCCTCCATCACCTGTGTCTCTTGGATTTCCTCCCGCTGTCCATGGGTGTTGCTTTTAAGGTTGATTTATACTTCTGCGTCGCCTAAGCCGTGACCTACTCACATGGCCTGCACTGCTGGTAGCATTTATACATGTGCTGGTGTGTCTGGCTCGCTCAGCAATTACACTTTTACAAAAAACATTTAAGAAACGTTCCATTTATCAAGTGCTGATTATATTTGTTCTGCTCCAAAGTTCCCATTGTCAAATTTGGAAAAATTTCATGCCGCTGTTATGATCTTCTTTATGCATTTTTCCTTCTAAGGCTAGTGTCTACTACTATTCTTTAGTCCTTTAAAGTACAAATAAACTTAAAGGAGCTAAGTGAAATTGGCCCTGTCATTCTGAGTGTTTAGTAGACCTGTAGCTACGATGACTAAGGCGGGGTTATTTAATGCTAGATATAAGTAGCGCTTTTGTTTGTCAAAGATTTAAGGACACCTGGTATGTATGCTTTCGTCTTTCTAAAAAAAAAAAAAAAACATGCTACCAAGTGGACCAATCACAGTACTTGCGGTCTGTGTCGCCACAACATGTAGTTGCATTTCTGGGGAGGTGCATGTCAGGCTATGGAGTAGGGTCCACGGCTACGACGTACTTACAGCATTGATTCAAGGCAGAAATATAAATCAGCTTTTAGGTGTTTGAGTGGTGTCTCAAAATTGCCCTGACTGTGTGATTGTGTATATGTAGCCGGTAATTCATTCAGCCCTGTACCCTTTGCAGCCTGGGATAGGCTTCAGGCCCTCCCTGTAACCTTGTGTAGGGGCAGGGATAGATGGAGTATATATCCAGTGTGGCAAAGCTTGACAATCCAGTCAGAGAAGTGGTCACGCCTTGGGGCTGCAATGTGTCCTCTTGACCCTCTGAGTCAGCACTCCAGCTGAACACACCCCCCCCCCCCTCCCCATTATAACGGCACGTAATTGGCTGTTTGTCAGGTTCAGTGGAAGAATGTCCACTTTAGGTAGCACAAACGCTAATTTTATGACTGCGGCCACAGGCGAGTCGTGATTTATTTGCTAGGAAAGCAAAAGTTACACTGTGGTTTAGTGCGATAGTTTAAGAAAAGAGAGAACCCAAACGAGGGAAATAAACAGTCATTTGGTTGTGTTTGGTTGAGTAGCTGGAGGTTCCTAAAAGCACATTCCCTGAGCACTGGTGAGCAAATCAGCATGTATGGTCCAGGAGAGCCAATAGCCAGGCTGATGGGGAAGGGGAGGGGGGGGAGTTGAGGCCTTTTGTCCGCAGTGCTGGTGTGGGTGTAGCGGCGTTGCCAAGGGAGGGAGGTACTCCAGCTGTGAGGGGTGTCAGAGGGCAATTTGGGGAAACAAGAGCGTCCATTAGCACCGCCGTCCGCTGGCCCGTCCTGCCTTTTGTGTTTATGCAAAAACCAGGGGAAGTGTTAAAGGCACCCAGAGCCCTGCACCCCTCCTTCCTGCGCCCAGCGCATCCACAAACGAGTCTTTCTGGGGGGTGGGGGGAAACTCTCTCTTGCTGGCTCCTGAAACGTCTCAGGAAAAATTGTTTCCGTTTGTTAGGGTGTCTTTAAACCTGTCATGGGGATGAGACTGGCATTTTGGGTGGGCGAGTGTAGCCTAGAGATGAATGCTGGGAAACCAGGGGCCTCAAGAGACGAGGACAGGCTTATGATATGAACCTTCAGCTGGTGCACTGCTGTGGGACCTGCAGAGGCTTTCCATGGTTCTGGCTGAAGAACCACTCAGGAAAATGGGCCGGAACATGGAGCAGCTCAAATTTTAGGTGGCTGTCATCACCAAGGAGATCTCCAGCGTCGCGTGTTCTGATATGAGGTGGGAAGAGGGCAGGCAGTGCGCATTGAAGTCCGATCTTAGTTCAGCACCAGTTCGTTATAGCTCTGCTTAGGGGTGGGCAATATAACCAAAATCTTCTATCACAATATAGCAATTTGTATCTGGAAATGCATAAATAAAAATTCAAACACAAAGAAACTGTTATATAATGTAATTTTATTTAAACTGTGAATTGCAGCATTACTTTAAGTAAAAAAAAAAACAACCATACTGTTTACTGCAATGTATTGTACTACATTTTTTTACTTTGGCCATATTCGTTTGGATGCTTGGATTTGAGATGATAGAAAAGGTTTGACGTGTTTCCACCGCTTGCTAAAACAGTGCTCTTGCATACCTTGCAAATCACGTTTGTCTCATTCGTATCACTTTTCCTATACCCAAACCAATTCCACACCACAGACGATGCACCTTTTTTCTTTACAATCTCCTCGTTGTTGGTTTCGTCACATGTAAGCAAACTCACCGCTGCACCGTCTTCTTCCATTGTCGAAGTGAAAGTGTATTGCGTGGTTACCCAACGTGCAACGTCACGTGATCTCAATCGCGATTAAGACGATAGACCAAAATCTATATCAGTTGACAAATTTCTACCGGTTAGTCGTGTCTACCGGTATATCGCCCACCCCTAGCTCTGCTCCAGTTCTTACCTCCCCCTGGGCAAAACGTCTGTCGCCGCCCTCCTGGCTGCATTCGAGTACACAGGAAGATGATGCCGCTGCCTTGAGTGAGGATTTCGGCACCACGGTGAAAACAGGGCATCGGTGTCGCACGTTCAGTGCCACCGTCAGGGTGCTGGAAGTATCTCTGCCCTTGGAAAGAGCTTGACATGAAAGTGTCCATGAAGGATGTGTTCCTGGCAGACCTGTCTGTGCATTAGATGAATGTGTAAATGTTTTCTAATAATTACTGCTAGCATTTAACGAAAATTTGCTTGAGGCAGACAGTCGCTGTTCAGTCCCAATTAAATGTAATATATTCCCATGCCTTTATAAAATGTCATGATGTGAGCAGAGACCTTTGTGTTTATTTGAGGTTGCGTGGCATTCTTCAACGTAAGCATGGCTTATGTTAATTGTTCCTTTGTTTCTTCGGAGTATAGATTCTGTCAGTTCAAATAAAAGGATGAAATCCAGTTTGCTGGTCTTGTTTTTTTAATTCATGTGAGTCAATCTGCAGGCAGTAATGCGAGAGAGCTAAACTGACTTACTGCTCCTAGATAGTCGTGTGTGCATGTTGTTGTTTTTTTGGGGGGGGTGCTTTCACCCAGTACATTTACATGCACAGCTAAGTCAAGCTACGGTTACAGCTTGACTACGCCATTTAATCCGACTACTATCCTTGTCCCAGTATACATGCGTGGGAGGGGAATCGATTTATTGACCAAAGTATGTCCGACTCCTCTACAATAGGTGGCGATATGGCTCCTTTCAGCTTGGTAGTATGGGGCTTTTTCCGGGTCATGTATTACGTGACAAATGTCAAAAATAATAGCTAATAATGAATGCATGAACAAATGAAGTGCCAGAAGCTTTAATTGCCAAGGGAGGGAGGTACTCCAGCTGTGAGGGGTGTCAGAGGGCATACTTATTTAGTTTTTGGCAATGTCCTATTTCGTGTTAAATCTATTTGTACAATCAATCACACGACATACCCTTCGCAGCACGAGGAGCGTACGTTAAGACGTGACGATCTGGGAGTATTTTACGCTTTTAACAAACCAGTAGCACAGCGATTTTGCAGTCTTTGTAAAAGAAAGTTTTGAGAGGTGGGAATAACGTTTAATGGACAATCCCACTTAACAAAGCGCACGCAACAGTGTAACTGAGCTGACGCCAATAGGATAAAAAATTTTAAGCATTCGCCAGTTTTGTATACTTGTTTTGAAGATATTCATACTGAACTGCAAATGCCTGAAAAACACTTAAAACGAGATGTACAAACGAGGTGGAACGGTACGTTAGGTATGTTTGTAGTAGCCTCATTTTTTTCCATCTCTATTTACTAGCTTAAAAAATTTATATATAAAGTATAATAAAGTAAAAAAAGAGCTCGTGTATCGGAATCAGTATTGGCATGGAAATAATGTGGATCGGCCCATCCCTAGTCGTAACCACTTTTGCTTGCATCCCTCAGATACATGTACTGGACGGACTGGGGGGAAATCCCAAAGATTGAACGAGCTGGGATGGATGGTACGAGTCGATCGATCATCATCGACAGCGACATCTACTGGCCGAACGGCTTGACGCTGGACTACAGCGAGCAGAAGCTTTACTGGGCCGATGCGAAGTATAACTTCATCCACCGGTCGAGCCTGGATGGCAGCTCACGGTAAGACTTCCTCATCCTCCTTCCCACCCCTAAGCAGCGTGGCTACTGGAAGCTAATGCTGCGTTCCATTTACCTCAGAGGTCAGAACTCAGAACTGGGAATGACGTCACACAGGAGTTAACAGCGTTCCAGTACAGCAAGTCGGAAAGCCATTTAGCAGTACCAATGCCCCGGTTCAATAAGCAAGATTTCTTGCTTAGCGGGATAAATTAAATCCATCAAGTTATCTCAGTTTAAACAGCCTTTATCTTCCTTCACTTACATTTAGCCCAGACTACCTTAAATCCGACAAGTTGGTCGTTTACGCAAGAAATGGTCCCTGCTTCTAGCCCAGTTAATTGTTAGACATTATCAGCAATATCAGTGGTATTTCGAGCATAAAAACACAGCATCAACATGGCCGTAGAAAGCGATTGGACAGTACTGTGTGTACGACCGATTTAATGAGCCATGAAGAACACGTAAGTTCTAATAGACAGTATAAAGCTGTAGCGTTAACTTAAATTGATAAAGAGCGCAGCCATCTTGAGTTCTGAGCTCAGGGTTGTGTCGATTCCTCCAAGTTCACAAGTTTGAATTCCGACCTCGGGGTGTTCCAGTTGAAATTGAAAAGGTCAAATGGAGCGCAGCATAAATCTGCTTGGATTTCTGTTTGAGCACATTGACAGCTCATTGTAGTCCATAGCTGGTTCTCAGTTCTGTGGCACCTTCCGCAGGGAGGTGGTGGTCAAAGGCTCTTTGCCGCACCCCTTTGCCCTCACGCTCTACGAAGACACGCTCTTCTGGACTGACTGGAACACTCACTCCATCCACTCTTGCAACAAGCGGACGGGCGAGGACAGGCGCGAGGTCCACTCCAACATCTTCTCCCCGATGGACCTCCACGCCTACAGCCAGAAGAGGCAGCCCCATGGTACTTCCACCTTATTTCACCTCATAACTGGGTCTTCCCATTAATCACCTCCTCCATTTTGTCCCCTGGTCTCCAAAAACAATGAACATTTGTTTTTTTTTGTTTTTTTTTATTATGGTTCTTCAAAAATGACTTGGCCTGGCTTCTCCAGCTGCTGTGAATCTGTCAGGTTATGCTGTACATCCATGGGGTGGCAGGATCAGCCCTGTGCCGTTGGTTGTTATGGTTACTTGGTGCTCACAGCTAAGCTCTGTCCAGTGAACACTGGCCAAGCCGGGTGTGTGTAGCGATGATAAAATGACTGCTCGTCATTGCTGTTATACCGCCACAGTGCCGTTTCAGATTCTGAGCCGGTCGCCTTTGTCCCCGCAGCCCCGGAGAGCCCCTGCACAGTGGGGAACGGCGGCTGCTCCCACCTGTGCCTGCTGTCTCCCGTCAAGCCGTTCTTCCAGTGTGCCTGCCCCACGGGCGTGCGGCTTCTGGAAGACCAGCGCACCTGCCGGCCGGGTGAGTCACCTTCCCCCCCGACCCACCCGGGGTCTCTCTTGGCATAGTGTGTCATGACTCGGGCAACCTGAGCGATTCGCAGGAATGAGGAACTTGTGAGGAATTCGTGGGAATGAAGAACTGCTTCACTTAAGGGGACTTCTCTCTCGCAGACTTCTCTATAAAAGCTGCTGCTCCTCCGTCACTTGAGTGCGAGGCAGAATAGCAGTTTTCAGAGGCAGAATCAATGCCCCTTTTGTTCTTACTGGTGGGACCTTCAGCATATTTACGTAGTTTAAAGCCAAATGTGAGTCATTCTAAGATTAGTTTTGAACTCCTGTATCTTTAGCTGATACAAATAGCCTTCTTAAGATCTGTTGAACTTCTAAGACCTTCTTGCTTATGTAGAATGATCACAAATCGTAACACTAAATATTATTTAAAAATGTTTTGAGAAGCAGAAGCGGATACGATTATATAATAGAATTTGGTTGATCGGATTTAATTAATCTGTAGTAGGACTTTAAGGAAAAGTTTGATCCTGTTTTTTTTTTTTTTTTTTTTTTTTTTTTTTTTTTTAAAACCCTTTCGGGTACCACAGTTTGTCGCCCTGTTTTCTGAAATATATCCAGGAAGCCACTGGAAAACGAGCTGAATTTTTCACAATTTGCCAGGCAGAACTTGACAAACGTTTCTGAGCCGCAATCTGGCAGGCCGAAAGTGTTAGCTCCTTACGTTTCTGCCGCTTTACTCTGGTTTTTGCTCCCATCAGACCCGGAATAAGAGTGGTGGAAGGAGGGGCCGCGCTTACTGGAAGAATCCCCCCCCATTTTGGCATTGTTGGGTTTTCTGCTTTTTTTTTTTGGGTTGGCCTGTGATGTTTGATGCTACCCCAGGCAGCCTTATTCACAGGGCTTGGTGAACTTGGTGAGGGAACTGCCTTCTGGGTATTGTCCAGCTGTGGAAAGCAGCCCTTGGCTCCTTGCACGGCAGTGGGGGGGAGGGGGGGTCACCCCTATTCCCTGACCCTTATCCACCATCCCCTTGGCAGATAAAGCCAACGTAGACTCGAAAACAAGAGGTGAAAAGCAGTAATTTGTCAGCCCCTTTTTGGGCCCTGCCACAGACGCCCCCAATCCCCCAGCCCAGTGGTCAGGTCGTTGCCGTCCACACTATCTCTATACAGCCAAACGAGGGGGGGGGGGGGGGGTCAGACAGACCTCAGCCTTAGCCACTCTGGTTTCCAGCCTTTCTCTGGGTCTGATCTCCAGTTTGATGCAAGTTAGCAAGTCTTGATTGGTCATTCAGTGAGTAGTGAGGAGCAGAGGCGGGGGCTCGTGGTCTTGGGGCAGCCCAGCGCGGCAACTGCAGGGTCCTCCCTGGTGCAGAGCTACTGAAAAGGCCGGCAGATTTAGCCACATACTGGGAGAGAAGGGTAGCTTTTAAAAGTCTTTCAGCTGCATTTGTAGCACCAGCAAAAGGGAGGGGGGGTGCCTTTTGTTTGTCCGGCAGGCCGGTCTAACTGGATGGGGGCCTTGGGGTGGGGGTGGGGGGAGCTGGGCTCGAGGGGGGAGCCTATACAGAGTCCCGCTGGTCATGCTTGGTTGTCCAGCGTGAGCTCTGCTTGATCTTTTCAAAGTGGGAAAGAATGGGGCCGACAGTCCCTGCACGCAGGCAAGAAAGCCCCCCCCCCCCATGCCATGTATACCGCTCAGAAAGGAGGGGGGGGGGCACAGGGTCTCACGTTGCGCGGGCCGGGAGTGGCCTCCAGTCGGACAGAGTGCACCGGGCCTGCGCTGGGATCAGGTGACGGTGCTCCGTGCTGCTCTGAAGCTCCTCGTCCCCGCTGAAGTCCTCTCTTTGTACATGTGGAGGGGGGGAGGATTTGTCATCGCGAATCATGGTGGCTCAGTGGGCTGCACTGTAGCCTGACACCCCGAGGGCTGTGGGTTTGATTGCTCCCCCGTGTGTGTGTGCGTGTGCGTGTGCGTGTGTGTGTGCGTGTGCGTGTGCGTGCGCGGATGTGGGTCCCCAAAAAGAGGTAAAAGCTGTTACTTTTTGGTCCTTAGGGACCTTTTTCGGGTCCCAAAAATATCAAGCTCAATTTTATCAAAATAAATAAATAAATAAGATATCTGAATTCAATCAAACTATAAATGCCAAAAGGTAAATACCAAAACTTTGATTAGTTGTAATTACCCCGCCCAGACCTGATATTAAGGTTATAATAAGGGTTGATGATATGAACTGTGTGTGTGTGTGTTTCCCCTCATGGGGGTCTGTAGAAGGAAACTCTAAATTGAGCCATACACAGTGTCCTGCTGGATGATTCTAGGACTTCAAGATGGGAGTTATGAGGGGCCATAATTGATAGAATAGATTGAATAGAAGGGACCCTCCAGTGATGTTTTTTAAATCGGTGAGGGGGTTCTCTGGGGGCTAATCAGCTTTCAGCCCAGCCTTTTAAGGCCCATGGTGTCCTGTGCTTCCTGGAATGAGACTCCGGGATTCCTGCGGCAATGTATTAGATAAGTGTGGATGGCTGGTAATTTTAACTTGTAGGGTTGTTTTCGACTTGCTGCTTGAATTTGAATCATGGATGTGATCTACGACTGGCCCCCGTTGATGCTTAGCCTGTCCCTGCACCTGTCCCTGACCAGGCCCCACCCAGTTGTTGCTCCTCGCCCGGCGCACAGACCTGCGGCGCATCTCATTGGACACGCCCGACTTCACCGACATCGTGCTGAACGCTGAGGACATCAGACACGCCATCGCCATCGACTACGACCCTGTGGAGGGGCTGGTGTACTGGACTGACGACGAGGTGCGCGCCATCCGGCGCTCCCGGCTGGACGGCAGCGGCAGCCAGTTCGTGGTCACCTCACAGATCAGCCACCCGGACGGCATCGCAGTGGACTGGGTCGCCCGCAACCTCTACTGGACCGACACGGGGACGGACCGCATCGAAGTGACCCGGCTCAACGGCACCATGCGCAAGATCCTCATCTCCGAGGATTTGGACGAACCACGGGCCATCGTACTGGACCCAGTCGTGGGGTATGTGCCAGCCCCCCCCCCCCCCCGTCGTCATCCTAGCTGTTATTAAACAGACTAGGGTTACAGAAATGCCTGTGGAAGGTGGCTTGTGTGTTGAAGATACCAATCAAACCTGCTGAAAATATAAACAAACATAAAACATTCTAGACATTTCCATCACAAGCTGTGTATTTTGTCCTGCCGTCTTACATTCCCCATATGCGCGATGACTTCAGGTCTGGCTCCTCCCCCAGACCTGCAAGTCCACGCCTTCTCTCGCTGACATCTGGCGGCAGTGGGGCCCAGTGTTCCTTGTTTGTTTATTCTTGGCTGTTATCTCTTGCTCCCTCGGGCCTCGCGTGTCAGAGGCGGACTCAGAAAAACAAACAGAGCTTCCAAGGCCTTGCTGGGTGGCTGATCCGGGATGATTTACACAGGCTTGGCGCTATGGGCCAGCCTGCAGTCCTGAGGATAGAAACCTTAGTATTAACAACAGGCATGATCGCACGGTTAAGGCCAGATATGTCCACCAGAGAGGAGCAGCGTTTGAGCAGAAAGGTTCAAGTTGTGCAGCACCTGTCTTACGACTTGTGTTGACTTTTAGGTCCGTTTCCTTCTGATGTTTGATCAACTAGGTACATGTACTGGACGGATTGGGGGGAAATCCCGAAGATTGAGCGGGCCGCCCTGGACGGGTCCGACCGCGTGATCATGGTCAACACCTCCCTGGGCTGGCCCAACGGGCTGGCGCTGGACTACGAGGAGCGCAAGATTTACTGGGGCGATGCCAAAACGGACAGGATCGAGGTGAGGGGCATCTGTGGGGGTCTTTGTGTTTTGCATAGACGCCTGTGTTTTCTCAGATTGTGCTGGCATGCTTTCCCGCCCCTCCCCCCCGAGCCCCTTAGGCTTGGTTCCTAAGTGCAGGGGCTCAGGTTTGTGTCGGGGGTCACAGAATGACGTGTCCCCCGCCCCCCCAAATCGTTAATCAGCCTTATCTGCTGTTCCACCACAACGACACGTTCTGTCGAAACTTGCTTTGGCATGTTCATCAGCCAGTATGCTGAAGGTGTGTGTGTGTGTGTGTGTGTGTGTGTGTGTGTGTTTCTCATGGAGCTGGTGGAGTGAAGCACCACTCATCACATAATCTAGGGGGATAAGGGGTTTCTGCTGTAATGGGTAAAATCTGCCTTTCTCTTTTAAATTCTCTAATTGCTGATTTGCAGATTTCGGGGCCACAGCTTCCCTGTGGTCATGCACAGGAAGGGACGCCCACCGTTTGTGCACGTTTCGGGGCCACAGCTTCCCTGTGGTCATGCACAGTTTGTGTTGCTAAAACTCATTCACAACTGAGGGGCCCAAGTGCCCTTTCAGGGACCAGCAGAAGGTCCCTGCTGAGGTCCATGCAACCATAGGGCTACATCTTGGAGGTATTTTTATTTGAGGAAATGTTCTTTGGTGCAACAGCTTGCGTGTGAAGTTCGCAGCGATTTTTGGCACTTTCCCTTGTCTGTCGTGCATTTATCGTGATAGAGCCCAAAGGTGCTTTGAGTTGACTGTGAGAGTGAGTTGGGGGTGAGGCATGATTCCCCCCCAGGCCTGTTTATTTTAGCCTGTTGTTAGGATGTTCCCAGAAAACTTTGTTCACCTTAAGTGTAACTGCTGTGAGAGGTTGTCCTCAATATGTACTGATTACAGATATGAAGTGTCCCTCCCTCTCAGTACCCAGAGATTTCAGTTTTATCCCCTCAGACTTTAATAGCCCCACCCTGGAGGGGTTTCATCTGGTCTGATCTCGGGGGCCAGAACCCCCCCCCTCCCATTTTTTGTTAAAGGTCACCCAACACTGAGAAGGGGCGGGTGGTACCCGGCCTGGCCCGGTCCGGCCCGCTGGCTCTCCCTGGTGCCCAGATGTGGTGCGCTGCGGCGAGGCTCACATCTGTTCCCAATTGCCGGCCGCACTCCAGCTGTGGTCAGCAGTGTTTAGAATAGCCTCAGAATGCGGAACCGGCACCGTGCTGCGGCCGCTGGCCCAAACCATCCCGCTCGAGGATGGAAACTTTATATTTGCGCGCGCACACACACACACACACACACACACACAACCTCATGGAGTGTTTGCATGTGCGCCCATGTGTGTATGGATGCGCAGAGCAGCACCCCCGCTCCCAATCCGAGGCTGGTCTCGTAGCATGGAACTGGTATGAAAAGCAGTTTTGAGGACGTTGAAAACGAACCAGAGCCGTGAGCATTTCACAGGTATGTAGCCTGTCAGGTCGGCTGCATCTCCAGTCGAGGGGAGATGGAGTTCTGTTTTTCGGTGGTGTGGTTCTGATCCAGAACACGGTCGGCTGTCTCATGCCACTGTGAAGGCTGCTGCCGCATGAACGCTTAATCCCCGTGCAGTTTGTCCCGAAACCTCGCGATTATGTCATAAGGCTGCTGAAAGCAGCTGGACCAAATACCTACCCAGACTCTCGCACACGTCAGAGGGACGGCCGTTTGGGCAGCATGTGTCTCTCCCTAACCCGCTTCTCATTGCCCACCCCCCACCCCCCCTAGACTGCTAGCCCCTCCCCTCCCCCCACGGCCACATCCTAGGCTCACGCAACACCATTGAAATTCAATCAGTGAGATGCTGCTGTTGTGATTCAAATGTATCCCTGTGATATACGGAGACCTCTCGTGAAAGACCGTGTGTGTGCGTGTGCGCGTGCGATATGGAGACCCCGTATGTTTGCAGTTAATAGCCTTAGTGGTTCGGCAAATGAAGCAGGCCCCTTCCTTAATGTCTGTAATCCTTGTGGAATATGTGACAGGAAGCTCCCCAGGGCATCTGTCATCCTTGCCACGATGGGGTGAGTAACAGTTGCCTGCAGAGCCATGTGTTTGACCTGCCACAGCGCTTCCCCCACCGCTGGTCCTGCAATGCGCTCTCGAGTGGCTGGACGTGCCGGCAGACGTGAAGCGGGCCGCTGGATGAGCGCTGGCTCCCCGAGGAGCAGCATCAGGCCAGAGGCTTCATCGTCTCTGTCTCCCCTGGCAGGTGATGAACATGGACGGCACGGCCCGACGGATCCTGGTGGAGGACAAGCTGCCCCACATCTTCGGCTTCACGCTGCTGGGCGACTTCATCTACTGGACTGACTGGCAGCGGCGCAGCATTGAGCGCGTGCACAAGCGCTCGGCAGAGCGTGAGGTCATCATCGACCAGCTGCCCGACCTCATGGGCCTTAAGGCCACCTATGTGCACCGCACCTTCGGTGAGTCTCCGTCGGTGGCTCCTCCGCCCCCGGCATGCTAATCGGCGCCTGGGATGTCGATCGATGTCGGTTTTTGTGTCTAGGCACCAACCCCTGCGCAGAGAATAACGGGGGCTGCAGCCACCTGTGTCTGAACCGGCCTCAGGGGGTCCAGTGCGCCTGCCCCATCGGCCTGGAGCTCATCGGCGACATGAGCACCTGCATCGTCCCCGAGGCCTTCCTGCTCTTCTCCCGCCACACCGACATCCGCCGCATCTCCCTGGAGACCAACAACAACAACGTGGCGATCCCGCTCACCGGCGTCAAGGAGGCCTCTGCCCTGGACTTCGACGTGACGGACAACCGCATCTACTGGACAGACATCACGCTGAAGGTGGGGGTTTAAGGGGGGGGGGCACTCTGCTGGTCTGGCTGGCTGGCCTGGTGCCTGCAGCTGTCTGTGTAATGGGCTCTCTGGGGACTCTAGCTTGGAAATAATTGATGGCAGATTTTTTTTTCTTTTTTTTTTTTTTTTGGTCTGTTTTGGCTGCTTTTTCGCAGGATTCTGACAGACGTTTCTGTTTTAGGGGAAGGGAAACTTATTATTTTTCGAGAAACCTAATTTTAGTTTTTTTGTAACTGCAGGACACATCCTAACAAAGTAAACCTTAAATCATTAAAAGTACTGCAATATTATCTATATTTTTGTATCTGAAATATAACACAGAGATTCCCGAGGCTGACGTTGGGAGGTGCAAGTGAACATTACACACGATTATAAACCTAAATCAAGTCTTCACCACAACAGGGTGCTGCTCTTAGAATTTTCCAGAACACATGCCGTTATATGATATTTAAGTCCAAAAATATGACTTGGTACATTTGAAGAGATCTATAGGAACATTTTTTATACCACTTTCCTTTAGCTTGAAATGCGATGTTGGATTCCGCGTAGTGCGTGAGGTACAGAGCACAGCTAGCCGCTATCAATAATTGAGGGGTTTTCTCCTCCCTAGATGGCTCTTCCTCTTCCTTACTCTTCCTTTTTTCCATGGCTGTACTTGCAGCCGCTCAGAAGAATCAGCACGATGTATATTTATAATGTGACTTTGCAGGTGTTTTCCTTAAGGAAATGAAGAATACTGTACAAAGTGTGACTTGTCTTCCCCTCCATTTCTTACGTTTAGATTTCCAGTTAATGATTTTATATCAAGATATAACATGGGAAGATCTGCTTTTTGTGCCGGGATATTCAGCATTTATTAAATTCTGTGTTTAAAAAAAAAAAAAAAAGTGTGTGTGTGCGTAGAACAGGGGTAACCACTGTACATAAAAGCAAACATACATATGCTTGTTTGGGATGATTCTGAACTCGCTGAGAATGCTGTTGACTGTGACGCCTCTGACATGAAGACCTTGCCTAATCGCCCCCAGACCATCAGCAGGGCCTTCATGAATGGCAGTGCCCTGGAGCCAGTGGTTGAGTTTGGTCTAGACTACCCCGAGGGCATGGCTGTCGACTGGCTGGGCAAGAACCTGTACTGGGCCGACACCGGCACCAACCGCATCGAGGTGGCCAAGCTGGACGGGCAGCACCGGCAGGTCCTGGTGTGGAAGGACTTGGACAGCCCGCGGGCCTTGGCTCTGGACCCCGCTGAGGGGTGAGTGTGTGGGGTGGTATACATTTGGATTGGTCAGTCTGTCCTATGTCGACTTCCAGTCTTCTAAAATGGCGTTTCTCCCTCCAAGCAGCCACATTTTTGCTCCCTCCTTGCTCCTTCAAGTCAAAGACACTGAATACCCAGCTATAAATGTGTTGGGACCTGGGAGGGAGCAAAAATGTGGCCTGTCTGGGAAACACTCCTCTCAAAGCTCGAATCACACTCACGTCGGTCTGTCCTCATGCGGTCATGCCACAGACCACTGTTTATTAGTACACATTTATTTTAAAACGCGTGACCTGAATGTTCCCCTTTTAAATTTAAGGGAAAACTGAAGGCGAACGTTTTTATATTGATGTTTTACGACGCGTTTCTGCACTGTAGCTGCAAAGCATCTAATTTTTTGTGAGGTACCAATTAACTCAGATGTTTTTGCTTCATGCAGTGGGTATTGATTTTGGTTTGAAATTGCAACCGGTAAGCCCAGGACAAACCGAGGCCGGGTGTACCTTGGACCCGTGTCCGTATACTTCTATGTCCGCGGTTTTGGCCTGACAGCCGCGATTTGGCCGCATGCGACAACTTTTAGTTTATTTTGATGTTTATATCTTTTTTTTCCCTTTTCTTTCCACCTGCCCTCCCCTGCAGCTTCATGTACTGGACGGAATGGGGCGGAAAGCCCAAAATCGACCGTGCCGCTATGGACGGGACGGGCCGTGTCACCCTGGTGCCCAACGTGGGCCGCGCCAACGGTCTGACGATTGACTACGCTGCACGGCGCCTCTACTGGACGGACCTGGACACTACGCTCATCGAGTCCTCTAACATGCTAGGTGAAGCCCCATACTTCCCATCTTTACTGCGATACTGCGGCCCCGGCTAACGGAACCGTTGCGGTCATCCTGCGGGCGGCTCGATTGAGAGAGGTTACTGGCCAAGCCCGTGGAAAGCCGTCCCCAAATTACGGGTCCATGTATCCGCCTTTGTCCCAGTGCGTCAGATAGACCATAACGGCAGCCATCGTGCATCCGCGGTCACCAAATGTCCCGCTAGTGGTGTTCTCTTGGCAGGAAGAGCCAGAGGACAATTCTCACTTCATAAATTACCGAAATGAGTGCGGTTTCAACAAAGAAAATTGAACAAAATACTCAATCTCAAGTTTAATAATTCATAATGAAGGCTGCCTTGTTTGTTTTTCGGTCTTGCCGTATGGTAGTATACTACAGCGAAATGCACCTTTAAATATTCCAATGCTAGTCACTCTCCAGCACTTGATGTGCCCAAAAAAGTATTTCATGAAGGGCACCCCCACCTAAAGTAAAGGTATCCCCCCCCCCTCCCTCAATGTGCATAAAGGTCTGGAGCGTGAGGTCATAGCGGACGACCTCCCCCACCCATTTGGCTTGACACAGTACCAGGACTACATCTACTGGACGGACTGGAGCCAGCGCAGCATCGAGCGCGCCAACAAGACCAGCGGGCAGAACCGCACGGTCATCCAGGGCCACCTGGACTACGTGATGGACATCTTGGTGTTCCACTCGTCGCGGCAGGGGGGCTGGAACGCCTGCGCCTCCACCAATGGCCACTGTTCCCACCTGTGCTTGGCCGTGCCCAATAACAGCTTTGTCTGTGGATGCCCCGCCCACTTCTCCCTCAACGCCGACAACAAGACCTGCAGTGGTGAGTCCGTGTCTGCTCGGGGGGCCGAAGGTCAGATACTCAAGGTTGTAGTCAAATGGGGTACGGAAAAGAACGGGCTGCTCCGGGCTCCGACTCAGTTATTGGAAAAATTTTCCCCTTTCTGTGTTTGAGAAATTGAAGCAGGTTTTTTTTCCCCTCCTTTATTTAAAGCCAGTGTGGTTTGGGCGTTTGTTGCCAACTTGGCAAGAGTGAGACGGCAGAGGCCCAGGTCCTGCCTAACTGCTTCCATCTGTGTTTGTCGTAGTAAAAATACTACTTAGTCCTCACCAAGGTCCCCGATGAGTCTGTGCCCCGCAAGCACAGAAGGCCCGTTTCGCACTGGTGCCGTTTCTGGGGTACATTAGCTGCTAGCAAGGCTGAAAGTCGCCCTAGAGTAGCAGGCTGAGAGGCATCGCTTGGCTGTGTGACGATGCTTTCAAACTGGAGTCACATGCTAGTATGTCCGGTTTCCCCGGATTCTTGTCCTTTCGTACTCTGGTAGTTTGGGCCCATCCACCTAAGAAGAACATGCAACTGAGAGAGGATCTCAACCCCAAGCCTGGGAGGTGTGAGACTGCACTTCTGCCCACTGAGCCACTCTGATTTAGCTTTTAGAATAAAATGACTGGTTTATGTATGTCGGCTTGTCAAATGAAGCCTCTTGAACCATTTGCTGTATTTTTTTTGACCCCACTAGGTTTGCGTTGGGTCAGAAAATACAGCGAATGGTTCATGAAGCTTCATTTGACCATCAATAGTTTGTGGAACTTCTGAGGCATTCCTGCTTACCTCTTTGAACATCAATTAAAAAATACCCTCAACACTCAAAAGTATTTTTGTCTCATGAAATGCACAGTGCCCCCTAGTGAGCTGACAGTGTTCCACTCCCTCCTGCCCCTCCTCCACCCCGCAGCCCCCACCTCCTTCCTGCTCTTCAGCCAGAAGACGGCCATCAGTCGCATGGTGATGGACGAGCAGCAGAGCCCCGACATCATCCTGCCCCTGCACAGCCTGCGCAACGTCCGCGCCGTCGACTACGACCCGCTGCACAAGCACATCTACTGGATTGACGGCAAGCAGAATGTCATCCGCCGTGCTCAGGAGGACGGCAACCAGGTGGTGCCATGGTTCTATGGGACGCTCATATTGTACAGCGATGCTAGATGCTGTTAGCTGACCTGGCATTTATGAATGACCCTGGGGGTTTGCATGTATTCCCTGTGCTGCCTGGGGATGGATGGATGGGTGGGTGGGTGGGTGGGTTGGTTGGGTGGAGGGTGGATGGATGGGTGGGTGGGTGGGTGGGTTGGTTGGGTGGAGGGTGGATGGATGGATGGATGGATGGGTTGGTGGGTGGATGGATGGATGGGTTGGTGGGTGGATGGATGAATGCCTCCATAAATCCTTGTAGCACTGAAACAGTGGGATTGTAGTAATGCACAGTGTGGATGTTCAGTCCCTCAGGTTTTTGGGTTCTATTCCCGCTAGAGGGTGCTGTACCCCACTTGACTCCTCTGCCGTGTGTCTCCAGAGCATGACCGTGGTGTCCAGCTCCTCTGGGAGTCCCAACCTACTCCTGCAGCCCTTTGACCTCAGCATCGACATCTACAGCCGCTACATCTACTGGACCAGCGAGGTCACCAATGTCATCAACGTCACCGGCACTGATGGCCGGCGGGTGGGCGTGGTCCTGCGCGGGGACCATGACAAGCCCCGGGCCGTCGTGGTTAACCCAGAGAGGGGGTGAGCCTGTGCATAACTGCTCAATTTCTGCCATCTTGTTTGACATCAGGGTGCCAACTTTTAGGTCCCTTCGGTCCCTTTTCCGGTGTGAGTGAAGCGGCAAACACTGTGCCAGGCCGAGTTTACACCTGTTTAATTTATCCAGTTTAGGCCCAGTTTAGATCCATATGGTTTAGCCACAGTTTAGATCCATTTAGTTTTGACTCATATTGTTGAGGCCCAGTTTAGACACAGTTTAGGGCAGTTTAGTTTAGGCCCAGTTTAGACTGGGGGTTCATGAAAATCCTGCAGCCCCTGGAACTCCAGCTGCTCACTGCATTAAATTCTGAGACTTGTGTGGCTTCATTCCAAATATTCATACTTTAATTCTGGGAACCTACATCTCCGTCTCAAGATCTTCATAATCCTGATAATTATCAGATTTTCATCAGGGAAGACAAGGTCAAGGGCCAGAGAAGGGTCTCAAAAGCATTCAGACTCTGATGTTTGTTGTGTATACTATGGGATGCCGGCCTGCTTTCTATACTCACGATGACCCCCCCCCCTCCCCCCAGGTACATGTACTTCACCAACTTGCAGGAGCGCTCCCCACGCATTGAGCGTGCGGCGCTGGATGGCACGGAGAGGGAGGTGCTCTTCTTCACTGGGTTGGGCAAGCCCGTAGCGCTGGCCGTGGATAACGAGGCGGGCCGGCTCTTCTGGGTGGACTCGGACCTGCGGCGCATCGAGGGCAGCGACCTGTCTGGTGAGCTTGCAGAGCAGGGAATCTTGGAAAGGCATTGATCTGAAGCGTAAACCTGTTTGCTATTAAAGATTCTTTCACCAACAGCTTATTTCCTCAAGGCTGTTAAGTATTTCCAGGGTAACATTGTGTAGGCAATCTGTTATATTGATATCATAGGTGTATAATTCACATTTTTAATCAAATGATTCACTTACACCACACCACGCATCGTCCCCGTGCAGCCTGATCCTGACCTGTGCTCTTCCAGTCTGTAGAGATACTTCCTGGCAAAGTGAAAGCCGTGGTGCCTGCGGTTCACAAACACGATCCGTTCCAGAAAAGTGGTCGTGAACCAATTTGTATGCGAACCAAGGCAATTTTTCCCATAAAGCATTGAAATTCAATTAATTCATTCACAAGCCTACCAAATAATTTAATTGTCTGGTTTTTATAGTAAAAACTATAAAGAAAAACACAATATAGTGTGGTGATGGGCGGGCCGATCCGGGAGCAGAGAGACATGGAGACTTGCTTGTCGGGGAAATCACGCTCTTTATTAACAGTCCTTAACCCTTGTATTGTAGTTGTTGTTGTTGTTGTTAATGATAATAGTTGCATTTCCCTGTTGTCACACGTATGTGGGGCATGCTGGGACATGCTGGGACATGCAAAAGGAATCTGGTCGAGGAATCTGTTCGTTAACCAACTTTTGTACGCGAATCAATGCATTTTTTTCCACAAAATTTTGTTTGTGGACCATTGGTGAACCACAGGCTCCACTGTACTGGTTTTTTAGACACTGGTAAATAATCCGCATTTAACAAAAATACAGGTAAGTGTGTAATAAAGCAAACTTGGCTTTTATCTAGATGTCTGACCCTAACCCTAACCCTAACCCTAACGCGTTACACGACATTCCGAATTTTCCTTTTTGACCCCCAAATCGCTGTTGACCGTCCAGGTGCCAACCGGGTCGTGATCGAGGACTCGAACATCCTGCAGCCAGTGGGCCTGACCGTCTTCGGCAGCCACCTCTACTGGATCGACCGGCAGCAGCAGATGATTGAGCGCGTCGACAAAACCACCCGCGAGGGCCGCACCAAGATCCAGGCCCGCATCTCGGCCCTGAGCGACATCCACGCCGTGCACGAGCTCGACATGAGGGAGTACAGTGAGTGGCTGCCTTATTCACTCCCGTCTCATTCACTCTGCCCCGTTTCGCTGCACTGTAACCTAAGGAGCCGGTTATATTGTCGTTCTGGGTAAACTGTCACCCGTAACGTAGCAGTAGATGCATTCCGTTACGTTATTTATTGCTCGGCAGACATGTCTAGCCGTCAAGGCATTAATTTACTGTTTTAGCCATTTTATGTAGCTGGAGACATACTGAAGAAATTCAAATTTACTGCCTCCCCCCCCCAGGGATGCCGGCAGAAGAATCTGGATTCTTAATTATTTGTTTTTTCTGTGCCCACAAGGCTTCTTTCGATTGAAATATTAATGTCTTGTTGTGAGTCCTGCTGTATTATTTTGGACTGGAGGGCTGGAGGCAGTTTCACCCGCACTGAAAAAATGGTATGTGCCAGTAATTCGGGGTCCATCTCCCAGGTAAACACCCCTGCACCTTGGACAATGGTGGCTGCTCCCACATCTGTATCATCAAGGGCGACGGCACCACGCGCTGTTCCTGCCCCATCCACCTAGTCCTGCTACAAGACGAGCTCTCCTGTGGGGGTGAGTCCAGCACCTAAATCGTGCACCTTTTCTCCCCCTAGTGGAAGGATGCCGTAACACAAAATTGCTTAGCAGAATTCTGAGGATTAAAGATAATTAGTATTCATTAGTTTAGTAAATTTGGATTTGATCCAGTATCTTTTTAAATATATCGGATGCATGTATAGCTAGCATTGTGTGTCTGTGTGTGTTTAATCTCATTTGGGGACCAAAATGTCCCCAAAGTGTGGTAAAACCTCAAACTTCCTTACCTTTGGGGAAATTTTTCAGGTCCCCATTTGGATAACCTCAACTTTATAAAAATCTGTGAATGCAATCAGAAACATAAAATGCGAAAAAGTCTTGCATTTTGTTTGGTTACTTATGGTTAAGGTTAGGGCTGGGTAGTGGTTAAGGGTGTCGTGATTGGGATTAGGGTTTTTCCCATAGAAATAAATGAAAGGTCCTCATTTAGATAGGTACGCCAATGCGTGCATGTATGCGTGTGTGTGTATACGCGGGCTTGTCTTGGGCTGACTTTTCGAGGGGCTCCTTTCCCCCCCAGAGCCCCCCACCTGCTCCCCGGAGCAGTTCTCCTGCGCCTCTGGCGAGGTGGGCTGCATCCCGCAGGCGTGGCGCTGCGACGGCTTCTCGGAATGCGAGGATGAGAGCGACGAGCGCGGCTGCCCCGTGTGCTCAGCCGCCGAGTTCCAGTGCACCAGCCACCAGTGTGTGGCGCTGTCCCTGCGCTGCGACGGTGAGGCCAACTGCCAGGACGGCTCCGACGAGATGGACTGCGCCGGTAGGCAGATTCTCTCACTCCGCTGCCCTGTAGCCCAAAGGGACTTGCGCTCACTTCACTTCGCCCTCTTTCTTTTTCTTCTTTCCTTCTTTCTTCGTGTAAAAACAAGATGGAAATAGCCGCGTTCTGTTCCATTTAAACACTGCGAGCTAAAACCATAAGTATTCTACTTTTTTAGATGATCTATCTTTAGAATATCTATATATATATGTCAGCTATAGGGTGACGTGCAATTAAGGGTGCGGGTTGCCAGTCATTCCCTTTTTAACATCTCGGTTTATTTACAT